ATTTTTTAGACTAGGTCATATCATTGTATAAAGAGGTATGTTTGTTTTGTATTAAACTAAATTTATTTTATGGTATGTATTAACCATGTATTATTCTAACTTAATTATTGTGTTTGTAGAAATGTATATTTGGTGTGACTCTTTTGGTGAATTGGATTTTGGAGGTTGGAGTGACGATATTCTGTTCAATTGTGAGCGGAGCAAGATTAGCTAATCTTAAGATTGCGCTGACAATTGTTAATGCGTTGTTTGCCTTTGTGGTGATCGTGATAACCGAGTATAAGTGAAAAAGCAAGATAAACAAGGGATATATTCTTTGAGTGGTAAAGACGATATTACTGGTGTTTTGGTCGTTATGCATTTTTGTTCTAGGATTATGAAAATAGTTGTCAGAGTACGTTTAAATCGTTCGTTTGATTTTTCTGGGGTTCCTATTATTTGTGCTACCTTTATGAGTTTCTTTGAAGTATTTGAGCGTGAAAAGAAGTATTTGCTATATTGTCAAAAAAATCAGACATTCAAACTCAAGAGAATTCCACCAGAGATATCGGGGGGCAGTATTGCTGATGTGCATGCATTGCACATTAGGGGTTTGTCAAAAAATGGAGGGTGTTTAAAAGGAGGATGTCCGGGTAGTTATATCAGAAGAAAATTAGATAAGAAGACTAGTCAAGACTACAAACTGAGTCTCATATAAATATTCTCTTACTTTTTTGGAGGTAAAGTCTAGCAGTCTCAATCTTATAAAAATCTGGGTGCTACTATAATAGTCTTGGATTTTTTGTTTTAATTATAGATGGAGTTAGTTTTACCTCCGTGGAGTTGTTTGCCTACTTATTGTCATATTGACGGGTTTTTGGCATCAATCACATATGAGNTTTTTTAGACTAGGTCATATCATTGTATAAAGAGGTATGTTTGTTTTGTATTAAACTAAATTTATTTTATGGTATGTATTAATCATGTATTATTCTAACTTAATTATTGTGTTTGTAGAAAGGTATATTTGGTGTGACTCTTTTGGTGAATTGGATTTTGGAGGTTGGAGTAACGATATTCTGTTCAATTGTGAGCGGAGCAAGATTAGCTAATCTTAAGATTGCGCTGACAATTGTTAATGCGTTGTTTACCTTTGTGGTGATCGTGATAACCGAGTATAAGTGAAAAAGCAAGATAAACAAGGGATATATTCTTTGAGTGGTAAAGACGATATTACTGGTGTTTTGGTCGTTATGCATTTTTGTTCTAGGATTATGAAAATAGTTGTCAGAGTACGTTTAAATCGTTCGTTTGATTTTTCTAGGGTTCCTATTATTTGTGCTACCTTTATGAGTTTCTTTGAAGTATTTGAGCGTGAAAAGAAGTATTTGATATATTGTCAAAAAAATCAGACATTCAAACTCGAGAGAATTCCACCAGAGATATCGGGGGTAGTATTGCTGATGTGCATGCATTGCACATTAAGGGTTTGTCAAAAAATGGAGGGTGTTTAAAAGGAGGATGTCCGACTAGTTATATCAGAAGAAAATGGGATAAGAAGACTAGTCAAGACCACAAACTGAGTCTCATATAAATATTCTCTTACTTTTTTGGAGGTAAAGTCTAGCAGTCTCAATCTTATAAAAATCTGGGTGCTACTATAATAGTCTTGGATTTTTTGTTTTAATTATAGATGGAGTTAGTTTTACCTCCGTGGAGTTGTTTACCTACTTATTGTCATATTGACGGGTTTTTGGTATCAATCACATATGACGTAGTTAGTTTACCGTGAAGGAGTTATCTCCCTGTATACATTTCAAAATCTTCTCATGAACCAGTAACATTATTTTTGTTTATTGTACACTAAAGGCTAAATATGTTTATAGGAAAAGCATTGTTAGACCCACATCTCTCTAAGTATTTAGTTGTTATTGTTGGTGAGGCTCATTAGAGAACTGTCCAAACTAATGTATTGCTTTTCTTTCAAGGCGTTAGTCCATCTGGTGTTTTACTCATAAAAATGCTTCCATACCCACATAGCTTCTATTCAATTGTTCTAAACATTTAATGAAACAAACAATGTACTTATTTTTAGCTTGAGGCAATAATATTTATACCAGTGTTGTTCCATTACAATACAATCATAGTTTACTTGAATTTTCATATACGGAGAAAAACATGGCCAAGACAGATTGGGCAGGAAGACATATATATATGAGTACAAATATTGTATTAGAAAGTTTACATGACACTCTTATGAAGTAGAAAACATCACAAAAGCGTTTGTTGGAGTGAGGTTCGTTTTGTCATTCGAGTTCTAGAAAAGTTTGGGTTTTCAACCCATACTTTAGCGGTGAATTACCGTTTTGTCTTTTTTCATAAAAATTCAAATTTTTCAGTTTTACCATAAATTTAGAATCCAACTGCAAGTGGTCCCTGGTAATGATTGGAATAACACATGTATGGGAGCCACCATACTTCTTAATTTCGACATATAACGTACCTTTAGGAATTGACGAACGTACGTAATCTCCATNCTTGGATTTTTTGTTTTAATTATAGATGGAGTTAGTTTTACCTCCGTGGAGTTGTTTACCTACTTATTGTCATATTGACGGGTTTTTGGTATCAATCACATATGACGTAGTTAGTTTACCGTGAAGGAGTTATCTCCCTGTATACATTTCAAAATCTTCTCATGAACCAGTAACATTATTTTTGTTTATTGTACACTAAAGGCTAAATATGTTTATAGGAAAAGCATTGTTAGACCCACATCTCTCTAAGTATTTAGTTGTTATTGTTGGTGAGGCTCATTAGAGAACTGTCCAAACTAATGTATTGCTTTTCTTTCAAGGCGTTAGTCCATCTGGTGTTTTACTCATAAAAATGCTTCCATACCCACATAGCTTCTATTCAATTGTTCTAAACATTTAATGAAACAAACAATGTACTTATTTTTAGCTTGAGGCAATAATATTTATACCAGTGTTGTTCCATTACAATACAATCATAGTTTACTTGAATTTTCATATACGGAGAAAAACATGGCCAAGACAGATTGGGCAGGAAGACATATATATATGAGTACAAATATTGTATTAGAAAGTTTACATGACACTCTTATGAAGTAGAAAGCATCACAAAAGCGTTTGTTGGAGTGAGGTTCGTTTGTCATTCGAGTTCTAGAAAAATTTGGGTTTTCAACCCATACTTTAGCGGTGAATTACCGTTTTGTCTTTTTTCATAAAAATTCAAATTTTCCAGTTTTACCATAAATTTAGAATCCAACTGCAAGTGGTCCCTGGTAATGATTGGAATAACACATGTATGAGAGCCACCATACTTCTTAATTTCGACATATAACGTACCTTTAGGAATTGACGAACGTACGTAATCTCCACGGACATTGTGGTGCTTGTGTGCACTTCAACACCCATAAACTAGTAGTAGAATATATGACCACATATTGTTGATGTACCTTAACAAAATCCAAATTTATTGTATTCTACAAATCCTCTTTAGTTGAAAACTTCTGGCCAACGTACAAATCTTCCCCTTTATCTGGTAGAGTAACTTGTTGCCATGGAGACAATTTGTCAATAATTGCCTTACCAATCAACATTTGTAAACTCTAGAGTTGATGCCTCTTTATACACTATAGTAGTCTCGTATAGTTCCATTTCCTCCTTCGACTCGTGATCAAGGTCATCTAGCACATTATTATTAATATACGTGCCTTCAATCACACAAGTACAACCCTACCTATTAACCATATGTTCTATCACATTCACACTTGTAGCATTTGACAATTCATTAACATAATTATCACCCAACAATCCTTCTAAAGTGTGGGAACCATTAACCCTTATAGATTTAATTTTGTCAAAGTTTCTCCCAAGATCACAACTCAAAAGAGAAGCCCTCAAGCATGAGTTGATTATCAAACATGACACCACACCTCTACCTTCAATTGAATCCACTGCTTCATATTCTTGAGTGAGCAAATGTGTGAAAGAATAATTACGTATAATGCAAGTTGACACTATTTCTAAGTAAAATTCCACACAATTAATCCCGGGCTATTTTGTCACTCCAAAGACAATATGTACAGTATTATCATCCTCCACCCATAAAGCTATATACTCTTGGTAATCACCTGGAAGACAGACAACGAGAGATTTGTCTTTTATGAATATCGTAGTCTCAACGTGGATGGTCTATCTTTGATTGGACTGGTGAAAGAATTAATCGAGGTACGCCTAGACAGACTCGAACACTCATGACCATTAAACAAAAAAAAAATTTGAAATATTCTGTATTGACTAATCTACTTATTTTTGTTTCCCTAAGTGTCCCTTAACAACTTGCCTTCTTTTGAAAGTCAACATGATCTGAAAATACTTTTTGAATAAGAAATAAAATCACCTAAAATAATAATGCAATTTAACTTATTTAATTGTGAATTTTGAAGACTAGCACCTCTTGTTGATTACAATGTTGTTTTTATTGCTACAATTTTCTTTTCAGATCAAAAAGTTCGTACTTTGGATTTATTTATCCGGAAATCACAAAAGATGGACTTATGGTTCTTTTTTCACATACTTCACGTGGAGTAGATATTTAGGAATGAAAATTGAAAAGTAGTAAGCCCAAAAAAAAACCAGCAAAAAAAAAAAAAAAAAAAAAAAAAAACGTTTCTCTGGCCCCTCTCACTCATACCGATCCATGTATCCAACGTGCCTCTCGCGCACGCCTACAAGCAGAGTTTTCCTTGCAAACCCTAATACCCACATTTCCATCGGTCTTCGAGCTCTCTGTCTTTCAATTGTCCATTGTTTCTAAATCAATTCGACAAACGCATTATTTTTGTGCATCATAATCGATTGAAATCTGATCTTGTTTCGAGTTTTGAAATCGAGTTGCTTTGAAATTTCAGTGATGTCTAGGGTTTCAGAGCTGCATTGAAGATAGATAATGGTAAATTTTGTTAGGGTTTGTGTGAATCGTATGGGTAAGCAATGCGAGAGCTGCGCAGTGGAGTACGAAAACACCGTGCTCCAGTAGAACCACCCCTGCAGCAGTGTCGCCGCCAAAACCAGCCTGCGAAGAAGCTAAAACAATCGGAGCATCTGGTGGGAAATTATATAAAAACCAGGGCCGCCAAAGCGAAAGAAAAAGGGAAAGAGGCGACCGAGGAAGCGGAGGCACTGAAGCCTAGGCGACAAGCAACGAAGAGGAAGGGGAAAGAGGTCGTTGTGGCTGAGGAGAAGGAGGGCTCAGGAGAGAAAAAAGGTGATAGTTTCAAGAAAGAGAAGATGGGGGATGAGAGTGGAGGGTTGAGTGCTAATAATAATAAGGGTACTGGCCAGGAGGAAGAAGGGAACACTGCACCTTTTCCTGAGAGGGTACGACTCTGTGTGTGTGTGTGTGTGTGTGTGTGTGTGTACATACATCTGCTTATTGTGTGTGCAGTACTGGGCTAAGATGACTTTTATATTTTATAGTTTACTTGTTATAATGAGTGGGGCAATTTTTAATTTCAAAAATTGATTCTCTAAAAGGTATTCCAACCTCCATTGAATTCGTTAGTTGTGACAGTCTAAAGAGTTTTAGTTTATATGTCGTTGTGAATCTTCCTTTGCAGTGAAAGCACCTTTTGCTATGTCATGAATATATCAAAGAGCATATATTTTAGCATGCAATTAGTGATGGAACAAGGGTGGTCTTATAACTATTATTATCTTTTTGGATGGGCGGGGTTTTGTCAAGCCTGTACGAGGAGTGAGTTACAGTGAAGTCTTTGCTAATAGAGGGAAAAAAAAACAAAAGGGAAAGGATCATATAAACTGAACTAATTAGATGCTCTTTTGCATGAAAAAAAAATGTAGAACTTTGAGCTGGTAGTATTTTGTGTTTCTTATGAGAAGCTTGTTGAGTTTTCCGCGATTGATTTTCATGCTTCTGTTGTTCTGCATAAGTGGGTCAAGGCTTTACATTGATAAGCTTAGTGAAACACCAGCACCATATAAAACGACTCGTGAACCACTTAAAACTGAGTGCATAACCACATGCTAACTCTGTGTAACTTGCTATCTTATAAAGTTCTGACTTGAATTTATTTTATTGATTTATCTCCCTTGGGATTGTGAATATTTTTTTTAATCTGTCATGAATTTATGACAAATCTTTCAAATGTACAATCAGTTGTACGATATTTCTGAATACTTTATTCTTTTGGTTTGCGTTTGAGTTGGGTTTTCAGGTTCAAGTAGGAGGCTCACCGGTCTATAAGATTGACAGGAAGTTGGGTAAAGGTGGATTTGGTCAGGTATTTGTGGGCCGCCGTGTTTCAGGAGGAAATGAACGCACGACTGGTCCTGGAGCTATGGAGGTAAATTTAGATTGGAATTCTTGTTACATAAGCAGTTAAATGATGTATGCCAGTTTTGATTTTTCACAAATAACATTGTTATGAATTCACTTGTGTTTTTACCAGGTAGCTCTGAAATTTGAGCATAGAAATAGCAAAGGCTGTAACTATGGCCCTCCCTATGAGTGGCAAGTCTACAAGTATGGATGTAAATCTGTTTTGGTATGAATATGTTGCTTTACTAGCATCATCTTATTTATGGAACTAAAACTTGTGATTTTTAATTGAACAGCACTCTTGGTGGCAGTCATGGAGTTCCTAAAGTACACTATAAGGGAAAGCAAGGAGACTACTATGTTATGGTATGACTGATACAATGACGTGCTTCTGTATCTTGATGATGCTACCCTGTTCTGGCATTTATCTTTTAATAATGTATTTGTAGGTTATGGACATTCTAGGGCCTAGCTTATGGGATGTATGGAATTCTTCGGGACAGTCGTAAGTACCTGAAGCTTATGAATTCTACTGAATATGTTTTCTTTAAATTATTTTTTAAGTCATGTCTTGTTTAAGTTTGCCTGGATTTGATATATTATACAATGGGGAAAATGTCTCGGGTATTCTATTTCTTCTTTTGCCTTTATTTATTTTTTTTTGGGTTTATTTTTTTTCCTGGGGTTTTTTTTGGGGAAGGGAGAGACTAATCAACCATCACACATTGATAGAGCAACTGAAAGGAAATATGAAACATCTTTCATCTTTTGCTGGATGATAGAAAAACCTGTCTTGTTTTCACCAATGCATAACCATAACAGGTTTGAGGTACACATATTAGATGATTAGGGCTAATCTCATCATGCCATATTATTGGGTAAGTGGTGCGCATAACTGTTTATGTGCATATTAGGTGGTTCATCTGGGAGGTACCATTGATTAAATCATGCTTTCATTGAGTGTGTATTTGGGTAACGCAGACTCACCGTCAGCTTCAAGTCTNTCATCATGCCATATTATTGGGTAAGTGGTGCGCATAACTGTTTATGTGCATATTAGGTGGTTCATCTGGGAGGTACCATTGATTAAATCTTGCTTTCATTGAGTGTGTATTTGGGTAACGCAGACTCACCGTCAGCTTCAAGTCTCAGGTTGCTAGTCTAAAGGCTTTTATATGTTGCGATTCTCTAATTTAATTTGCTTTGTGTAGGCTATAGGAGATTTTTGTCGACTATTTTACCGAAAAAAAGAGAGGATAGAGATGAAGCTGAAAAAGGGAAAGAGAATATTGAAAACTAAGTGAAGAAATGACTTTAAATTGCAGAAATTATTAGTGCCACTGTTGACTTAGGAGCTATAGTTATATGCTTTTCACTTGTTTTATTTTTTTAGTGCTGAATCGGAGGTTTGTGTAAAAATGATCATATCCTTACCCATGTTGGACTTACATATTTTACACTTGCAATTGTATTGTTATAGGTGACAGAAGGATCATGACCCTCTCAATTTCAAATCTTGGAATTTCAATAACAGACCATAAAATCATTGGGCATCATTTATTGGCCCAACGTATAGATCCCACTTTTAGCATTGATGATTAAAATTGGTNACCCATGTTGGACTTACATATTTTACACTTGCAATTGTATTGTTATAGGTGACAGAAGGATCATGACCCTCTCAATTTCAAAATCTTGGAATTTCAATAACAGACCATAAAATCATTGGGCATCATTTATTGGCCCAATGTATAGATCCCACTTTTAGCATTGATGATTAAAATTGGGAAAGTGCCTTGTATTAGGGGTGCCCAAAGCCCCTTCTTGAATAGGTAGGCATGTACTTACAAAAGATGTCCAGTGAAATTCTCTTTTGTCGTCATCACCACCCGGCCAAAAGTTAGCAAACCATTTTTTCCAAACTGGTCAAGAGCTCCCTTTGGAGATAATAATTAAATTCGAGACTTCCTTCTGGTTGTTGTTGTGAAAAGTGCTCAAAAAAGAGACCACAAGATCCACTTTCAAGTTGATTACCCATTTAAAAAAGGGCAACGTNGTCCAGTGAAATTCTCTTTTGTCGTCATCACCACCCGGCCAAAAGTTAGCAAACCATGTTTTCCAAACTGGTCAAGAGCTCCCTTTGGAGATAATAATTAAATTCGAGACTTCCTTCTGGTTGTCGTTGTGAAAAGTGCTCAAAAAAGAGACCACAAGATCCACTTTCAAGTTGATTACCCATTTAAAAAAGGGCAACGTAAAAAAAATTGGTTTTAGATCAAACAGACCTTAGGTTACAATTGCAAGTGGGGTTTTGTTGAGGGAGGAGTCAAGATATCCATAGCCAAATCATGGATATTCAACCTTGGAGTTTGTGAATCTCCTGTGAGCAACAATCCATGCAAAGAGTTGCACCTTTGTAGGCACAGTCTAAATTCTTTTATTGGATGTTGGTGGATCCAAAACACTGAATCAAACAAAGATATAGAAAAAACTTCCATATTAACACTATCATCTAAATTTCCTGAAAAAAAGAGTCCCAACCAAACCAAGAGGACGAGCCTGCCATAATAACAATGGAAGTTTTAAGAACCCGAGACAAATGATATAGTCCACAAAACAAAGATTAAAGAGNAAAACACTGAATCAAACAAAGATATAGAAAAAACTTCCATATTAACACTATCATCTAAATTTTGTGAAAAAAAGAGTCCCAACCAAACCAAGAGGACGAGCCTGCCATAATAACAATGGAAGTTTTAAGAACCCAAGACAAATGATATAGTCCACAAAACAAAGATTAAAGAGATGACTCACCTTTCTAAATATCTTAGTAAAAAGGAATTTTTGCTTTATACCCCACCCTCAAACCTAATATGACTCAAAAACAACTAAAATCTTGAGAAATTGATTTGCAAGTATATCAGAAAGAACCCCTAATCACTCTAGAGTCCCATCCATTCAATCGAGGATTATATTTCCTTTTAATGAAAGATTGCCACATAATATCTTGATAGGTTAGATTTTGTGATTGGAGAATGGCTGGTCTTTGTCATTAGGATTCTAGGATCCAATGGGTTTAAAGGTACAAAAAGATTTGGATGGAGGGAAGTGTTTACAATTTTTTTAGGATGATCTCGTAAGCTTGCTTTCAGAGATTTCAATTTCTAATAAACATGTTAGTGGAGTGATCCTCCTCCCAATTTAAGCACTGCACTTGATCAGTAAAAGATGTGGTTTGTACTTGGCATCTTTCTAGTATGGTTTCCTTTATCTCTCTCTCTCTCTCTCTGGTGTTTTGTGGGGAGGAGGGCCATTTGCATTAGATATCTTGAATGTGATGCTACTAATGTTTTAATCTTCCAACNTGATTGGAGAATGGCTGGTCTTTGTCATTAGGATTCTAGGATCCAATGGGTTTAAAGGTACAAAAAGATTTGGATGGAGGGAAGTTTTTACATTTTTTTTTAGGATGACCTCGTAAGCTTGCTTTCAGAGATTTCAATTTCTAATAAACATGTTAGTGGAGTGATCCTCCTCCCAATTTCAGCACTGCACTTGATCAGTAAAAGATGTGGTTTGTACTTGGCATCTTTCTAGTATGGTTTCCTTTATCTTTCTCTCTCTCTCTTTGGTGTTTTGTGGGGGAGGAGGGCCATTTGCATTAGATATCTTGAATGTGATGCTGCTAATGTTTTAATCTTCCAACTATGCTCTCTCTGTCTCATTTTTTTTTTCTCCCGCCGCCGGGGGGGGTGTGGGAGGTTCATTTAGATGCCCTGTTTTAAGTTCAATATATGCATTATTGAATTTTGCCTGTCTGCTGCCATCTGTGCATGGATAGAATGATTAACCCCCCTCTCCCTCCCTTTGGACCTGCTCACTTTTCCAAGTAAATCTTACTTGCTCTCAGACGTCTTACTTTTTTAGCATTTACTTATGTCCACAGGATGTCATCAGAAATGGTAGCTTGTATTGCCGTTGAATCTTTGTCAATCTTAGAAAAAATGCACTCAAGAGGGTAGGTATTGCAATTTTCTCTTTTTAAGTTTATTTTTGAATGTGGCTTCCTTAGCTTTTTCTCTTAATCTATGGATTTTGGTGGGCTCTTTCCTGAGTAAAATTCTAGTTTATTGTGCCAATTTTCCAATGCATCACTTGTTCTAAAGGAGGACCATTGTTGATGTTAGTTATGTGCATGGAGATGTAAAACCAGAGAATTTTCTTCTCGGCCAGCCTTCGACAGCACAAGAGAAGAAGTTGTTTCTTGTTGACTTGGGATTGGGTCAGTTATTTTTAGTGACTTTTTTAAATGACATTATATTTTCTTTGATATTCCTTTCTAATGCTTCTAGTGACATGTGAATGGCAGCAACAAAGTGGAGGGACAGCGGTAATGGACAGCATGTTGAATACGATCAACGTCCTGATATGTTCAGGTGATTGTTTTGTTTGTATTCCTGGGCTTTATTTTGTAAATTCTACTCTTTTGACCGACCTTTGTGAAACCTTTACTTTGTATTATTTTGCAGAGGGACAGTTCGATATGCTAGTGCACATGCACACCTGGGAAGGACTGCCAGTAGAAGAGACGACCTAGAATCACTTGCTTATACACTCATTTTTCTTCACCGAGGCAGACTACCATGGCAAGGGTATCAGGTATGACATTACATCTTTGTCAGGTCTCTATAACATTTGGCAGAATTGCTTTGTTTCTAGAAAGCTTGGTTCCTCATATTTATGTTTTCCTTATTGGTTAGGGTGATAATAAATCATTCCTAGTTTGCAAGAAAAAGATGGCTACATCTCCAGAAATGCTGTGCTGCTTCTGCCCTGCACCTCTTAAACAATTTCTTGAGATTGTAGTGAACATGAAGTTCGATGAAGAGCCCAACTATATGAAGCTAATATCTCTGTTTGAGGGACTGATTGGACCGAATCCTGCTGTTAGGCCAATAAACACGGATGGTGCTCAAAAGGTGATTTCTTAAATACTTGAATTAGTGAGAATTTTAAATATTTTTTATCTTCCTTTCTTGGACTTCTATTAGAGATTTATAGTTTGTCTGGTTAACATTGGTAGATCATCTATCAAGTTGGTCAAAAAAGGGGTAGATTGAATCTTGAGGACGAAGATGATGGGCAGCCTAAGAAGAAGGTTCGTAACGGAAATCCTGCAACACAGTGGATATCAATTTACAATGCCAGGCTACCTATGAAACAAAGGTAGAATTGTTTTCTATATACAATATTGTTGGCTGGATTAGAGTTTGCTCCATCATAAAACTTGTTCAGGCCCTTAGATGTTTGCTGTAGCCTGTATAAAGCTTGTCAGAATACCAGTAGAACACATGGGTTTTACAATGTCAGAAAGANTTGCTCCATCATAAAACTTGTTCAGGCCCTTAGATGTTTGCTGTAGCCTGTATAAAGTTTGTCAGAATACCAGTAGAACACATGGGTTTTACAATGTCAGAAAGCTTTCGAGCCTGATTTGTTGTAATAGGATTTAAAGTTCACCTTCAGGATGGGACTGCAAGAGGCTTTAATGGGTCTTCGTATGGGCAGATTTCTCTTTATGATAACTCCATTCAAGGTGATCTTAGTTTGTAGGGTTTTGGTGACCATTAAAAAAAAAGTGTTATAAAACATGGACACATATGCTGACATTGGATATGAGCGCAACATGACCCAGACACGTTGACTTGAAAATTTCTGAAAAAGTAGGACAAGAACACGCATGCATGCAAGGATCAAAATTTTGTTTCGGTCACCTAGAAAAGGAAAACATTTAGAACCATTTCGGAAACGGATAAAAATTTTGGGAATTTATTTTCAAAACATTGGCCGAAAATATACGTAACTCTTTGGAACACTTTGAAAAATTTTGAAATATTAATGAAAACATTGAAATTTAGACTTAATCACCGATTCACTTTGGTCTCCTTAGGTAAATCTTATATCTTATATCATCGTATAAATTTGTAGACTAATAGATCATAGAAATTAATATTTATCAATTTTTTTATCGACAAATATTGATTGCTTTCATCTGCTTAACTCTTAACAATTAGTTGTATACTCTCTCATGTATAATGCAGTCATATGTCAAATTTTCAAGGTTAGTTATTGTATAGCGATACATGTTTATTTTTGAGATGTATAAGATACATCACGAAAGTAGTATCGAATGCATTTTGGCAATTAAGATTTTATTTTCTAATTATAGACATAGTTATCAAATCAAGATTCTTATCAGTAATCGAAATTCTAGATTTGAAAATCACGAATCGTAAGATTTGACACGAAATTCGAACAAAGAAAAAAAAGACATGGGCATATTTAAAATAGGCAAGAAATTAAATATTGAACATTATTGTATTTTAAAAATAATCAATTGACAATATTGGCGTGATCACATCGTTTAAATGGAAAGATGGAGCCTTTATAAGTTTTTATAAAGCTAAACCTTTTTTTTTTTTTTTGAAGGAAATAAAGCTACACTTGAGTTTGTACTTTTGTTACTTCTTTCTTAATGAATAATAAATTGGTCCTTCAAAATGACCACGATGAAAGATGCATGATTTTTAACCAACAAATTGCTATTGTCTTCCTACCAATAAAGTTAAACTAAAATAGGAAAAATCCATATTGATTTGAACATGTAAACTTAGAAAATAACTTTACATATCGATTAACAAAGAAATTTTTGATAAAAAAACAAAAAACATAACATTTATTGAAGAAGAAGAAAAAGTATGGTATATTAGTGTTTGGTAGCTATTTTTGAAGAAGAAGGAGAAGCATATCTGGAGTGCAGGAAACATCGTTTCTGTGTGATGTTCATAGACGCTTGGACAAACGCGTAAGAGGCGGAGACGCGAGTTTTATATTTGAGGGTAAGTCTCTTCTAGCCAGACGACATCGTTTTGATTATATAACAGTCAAAATGACATTGTTTTACTAAAAATAGGGTTAAAAAAACGAATTGTACGATTCATTCAAGTCAAATTGAATCGTATGATTCTTGCAATTTAGGTGTGATTCTCGACCAAAACGAGTCTATGGTAAGGTATGAATCGAATCATGAATTGTATGATTTTAATAATACTAATTATAGACACCTCTGAAAGATTCTCGGGTGCGTGTTCTAGAGTGTCCAAGATGTATTGGTATCGGACACAAATCCAACACGAATACATCACCTTCTTAAGAATGTCCGTGTTTCTTAGGACAAAAGCCATATGTTCTAGCTTCACATATTTTATTTCCTGAGTTCCCTCCATTCTGGCCATGTGTGAATTATTTTTGAGGTCAACCAACCCATTCTTTGTTTAAAACTGTATTACTCCTTGTTTTTGTTATATTCTTCTTCATTGCATATGGTCTCAGTGTCTTCATTAAATTTTGTCACCTTGCATCAACTTTGCTAATTTTAACTTGGCACTGCCCCCACCTACTTGTGGAAGGGGAGGGGGAGGTGAGCACTCTCACTCTCTCTCTTTATTTGGTATGGACCAGGCAGCCTTCATACATGAAGAGGGGGAATAGGGAGGGGGAAAAGGGGGGGTTCCTTGAGGTTAAAGAGTCGATGCAACAGAAAAAGTCCACAAGTGGAAGCAGCTGATGCTTTGGTTGTGTTTTGTCTGCATGCCTGTTTATCTCATGCTTCTTATCTTTTTCTAATTTGCAAGTGCTTGTGTCCTCCTCAGCTGTTTCTCTCCAGTCTCCACTCTCCAGTCTCCAGTTATCTCATCTGCCAGTTCATTATCATGGAACATTCTGTCTAAATTCATTATGTATAGTCTTCTGAAGCTGCAATTATGCTTTTGAAGATTTTTTTTCCCAGCTTGTTAAATGTGATGATGTTCACTCAACTACTGATAACTCAAGATAATATGGGCTACAGACATCAATCAAGTGCCTCATAGTTAGTCCCTTAGCTGTTACTGGTGTGTAGGACTGATTGAATCCTGCTGTCGTTAAAGGCTGAAGCACTTCCTTTTAGCTTTCTTAGCTAAGTACTAGAATTACTTTGTCAATCGATCAGTTTACTGCTACTACCTCTCAGCATAAGGCCCTTCTTTGTTTCAACATATGGCATAAGCTTATTGACTATGATAACTGCTAGCCTTTCATGTAATTCTTTCATATCCCATTATTAGGTACCATTATAATGTCGCGGATGCAAGATTGGGACAACATGTAGAGCGAGGAAATGCAGATGGTTTACTTATAAGCTGTGTGGCATCTTGTTCCAACTTATGGGCTCTCATAATGGATGCTGGAACTGGCTTCACAAGTCAAGTCTATGAGCTGTCACCTTTTTTCTTACACAAGGTTAACTTCTGTGTTCCCTAACTATCCTTTTGCTCGAGTGCTTCATTAATTTTAGAACTTGATTAAGTAAATTATTTGATGCTATTAAACTTACAGGAATGGATCATGGAACAATGGGAGAAGAATTATTACATCAGTTCAATTGCTGGTGCTAACAATGGAAGCTCTCTGGTGGTGATGTCCAAAGGTTTGGTTGAATTATTTTAAGTAGTTGGCGTTGATGAGATCTATGCGTACTATGCTATTTGCTAATGATGGTAACAGGCTTGAAATGTGACATTTTTTGGTGTATTCCTTTCAACACCAAAAGTTTCTTGTTTTGGGGTAAGTCAGTGTCAACACTTATTACTGTCGGTATGTATTGGGAGAGGGAGGCTATGCCTACATTCTACTGGCCGCCGCCCGTTCTTTTCATTATCCAATTTTGTGATTCAAAGGGTTGCACTGGCTACCATATTTGATGTCCCTTTTTGTAATAAGTTGATAGAATCTTTGCTTGGATTACTAGAATTAAATGAAAAGGCTATTACCAGGAGGTAATTCCACTTCATCAGTCTTTGCCATATCTATATATATATATATATATTTTTTTTTTGNCAATTTTGTGATTCAAAGGGTTGCACTGGCTACCATATTTGATGTCCCTTTTTGTAATAAGTTGATAGAATCTTTGCTTGGATTACTAGAATTAAATGAAAAGGCTATTACCAGGAGGTAATTCCACTTCATCAGTCTTTGCCATATCTATATATATATATATATATATATATATTTTTTTTTTGTTTTGACAAAGTGGTGCCTTTTAGACTTAAACCTATGCTCCCATGCTTGCTGCGCAAGCAGTATACCATATTCCAAGCTCTGACCCTTTTCAATAGGAACTAGGTAAGTTGTTGCTTTTACTGTGGATAATAAGAGATATTTGACAACTGGTTGTCCTGGCCACCTTTCCTAACCATCTGTCTTTCCTTATTGAATTTTATAAGAAACTATTTCAAATCTCTAGACTTACAGTTGATACGANTTGCTGCGCAAGCAGTATACCATATTCCAAGCTCTGACCCTTTTCAATAGGAACTAGGTAAGTTGTTGCTTTTACTGTGGATAATAAGAGATATTTGATAACTGGTTGTCCTGGCCACCTTTCCTAACCATCTGTCTTTCCTTATTGAATTTTATGAGAAACTATTTCAAATCTCTAGACTTACAGTTGATACGCTGTAGATCTCTTAATTGAGATGGTTGCAATTCTTCCCCTCACACTCACATGTGGTATCTGGCTGTGAGGGCTTAGGATTTACTTGCAAGTGCTCATTTTTGGTTGCTAAACTGAGAATCATTGGCTGAACTTTGTACTTTCCAATTCCTGCAGGCACCCAATACTCGCAACAGTCTTACAAAGTAAGCGACTCCTTTCCTTTCAAGTGGATAAATAAGAAGTGGAGAGAAGGGTTCCATGTGACCTCTATGGCAACTGCTGGTAGCCGATGGGGTGTGGTCATGTCTCGCAATGCTGGCTTTAGTGATCAGGTTGTGCTTCTTGTTCCAATGTATTCTAGTCACTTGCTTTCTCCTTGCAATAAGTTAAGGACGGGTTGCTTGCCATTTTTAAATCTAATCTGTTTCAAAATACAAAAAAGAAGGCAATCAGTAAACTTTTTCTGTGTACATTTTTTTTTGAGTTGAGCATAAAAAATTTCCTGAAGACCTGTTATATGCAGTAAACTACCTCAGTAATACTTAATCGAGTCTCAGCGTGGCTATGCTTCCAAAGTTTTGAGGATCTCCATTCTGAGAATCTTCAGAAAATCAAAAGGAACAAAGGCAGAAAAAAGTGAAAACTGGTTTATGAAACCCATAGCAAATATGCAGTATGCTCTCACAGTGCTCCAATGCTAAATCTAGGCTCAAGTGGAAAGCTGTCCCTTACTGTTTCATATTGTGGGGGGCAAGAAAGGACATAATGTCTTTGTAATATTCTATTAAAATATCTTTTTCATGGTGTGGGGTGGGGCTTGTTCAAAGTAGTTTATCATCAAATGGTTAAATGGAGATTGAAAAATAAAATGGTGAAGTATTTCCACTGGAGGTTGTCCTATCTGATTTCTTATAAATCAAAATGAGTGTTTGTTATACCTCGTGACCAGTTGGGGTGGATCCATATGTGTGTGATGTCTCAATAGGTCTCTGGATTAATATTTGCGCACTCCTACCAAATGTTTATTTATTAATTCAGTGTGTTTTCAAGCCGCTCTTGCTAACTCATCTTTGGTTTCATAGGTTGTGGAGCTTGATTTTCTGTACCCAAGTGAGGGCATCCACAAACGCTGGGACAATGGTTACCGTATTACCTCAACAGCCGCTACCGGGGATCAAGCTGCTCTTATCTTGAGTGTGCCCAGGCGCAAACTTACTGATGAGACTCAGGAGACTTTACGAACATCTCAGTTTCCAAGCACACATGTTAAGGTGAACACTTGATGGAATTCATGATTTGTGCGAATTGCGCTTCTCATGTATCGAACTTGTTTTCAAAGTGCATCCATCTCTTCCTTGCTTTAGCATGGTCGCAAAAGAGATTTAGAGTTGACATTTGTCTTTTGTACTGAAATAAGGAAAACTTTNCTTCTCATGTATCGAACTTGTTTTCAAAGTGCATCCATCTCTTCCTTGCTTTAGCATAGTCGCAAAAGAGAAATAGAGTTGACATTTGTCTTTTGTACTGAAATAAGGAAAACTTTTTTTGCCTTTTGGTCCAACATATGAGGAAACTTTTTTGCCTTTTAGGCTAGTAAAGGGTTTTGTGATGGTCTTGAATCTTGCATCCTTATATATGGTCTACCCATGGTTTTTATTTTGGCTTTTTTGGGGATATGAGTTTATCAGAGTTTTAACCCCTAATTTAGTAGTCAACAATNCATATGAGGAAACTTTTTTGCCTTTTAGGCTAGTAAAGGGTTTTGTGATGGTCTTGAATCTTGCATCCTTATATATGGTCTACCCACGGTTTTTATTTTGGCTTTTTTGGGGATATGAGTTTATCAGAGTTTTAACCCCTAATTTAGTAGTCAACAATCTGCCACGTGAAGAAGCGAATGTTTTTTCCTGCATCATGCTACATTTGATTTGAGATGCAGAAGATCCATTTTTTGCAAGTTTCTATGCTCGTCAGCCAATTATTTCACCTCTTAGTTTTAATGTGCCATAGTCTTTGGTCATATAAGCCTCTATGGAACTAAGCCATTGTTTGAAAGTGGTTTGAATACTTACAAGAATTTGTTTTTTTGGAGAGACTACTTCCCTATATTGGTTTGCTTGCTTAGAACTTTTGACAGAATTTTTTATAGGTTCAGCTATAATCAGTTTGTCAATGGGTAGGTATCTAGCGTTCCTTTTGGACCTGAAAATAGGTGGTTCNTGACAGAATTTTTTATAGGTTCAGCTATAATCAGTTTGTCAATGGGTAGGTATCTAGTGTTCCTTTTGGACCTGAAAATAGGTTTTGAAATGGCGTTAAAAGGTATAGATTGGGTTCATGAAATCCCTATATAAAGTTGACTGCATATTGATCACTTTAGACCTATGAAGCACAGATACGGATACGATACGATACGGATACAGCGATACGTCAAAATTTAAAAAAATGATACGAATATTGCTAGGATACGTCCATAAAATTATATTTTTTATAAAATTTTATTATTATATTTAATATAATAATTATGATTTATAAAATAATAAGTGAATCACACATTTATCAAAGATATATAATAATAACTAACCATTCATTCATACATTCTACACAATACACATGTAAATTGCATAATATCAAAAACCAAAATGTTTGCATACCCAAAGAAAAAAGATATCATGTTCATGCATAAACAAAAGAAACAATCCTATTATAAGTCAAGAAGCAACAAAATAGTTCCTTAGTNGACCAAATATCCCTTTGAATTGGCTCAACCTCTCTAAACAGAGAATCTGACCCCTTTTGGATAGCTTCAATCAGCAACTTGGAATCCGATTCAACAATAACGGCTTGAAATCTCTCTTCAACTGCCATGGCACATGCCATTCTAACCACCCATGCTTCTGCAGTTAGAGATGATGAAACAAGCATTGTTCGAGAAGTTCCAGTAATCATATTCCCCACCTGGTTTCGGACAACGACTCCATAAGTTGCTCTTCTAGCTCTTTCCATAAAAGCTCTATCACAATTAATTTTGAGCCTGTCTTGTGGAGGCGGGTTCCATTCCATCTGAACTTCTTGTCCTTTGCTTTGATGGGTTTCTTCTATCCATCCTGCACTGAAAGGCTTCAGCTGTTTCAAACATTGCTCTCTCTACTATAGCAGAAGAATTCAATTTATGTTGATTAAACAACCAATTATTCCTCTAACACAGGCAAGGATTGTCTGTCGATTTGGATCCTCCGCACCCCATTTTTTCTCCATCTCAAACTGCTCCATTAGCCAAGTCTCCATTCTAGAAACTTTGTTCCTGTCCACCCTTATTTGTAGAGGTGACTTTGTCCACACACCATTCACCCAAAGGACAAAACAAAAACAGATGTTCAATTGTCTCCTCCTCTTCCCCACAAATAGGACACACTAGACTGTGGTTAACACTTCTTTTCCATAGATTTTCTGTAGTAGCCGAAACTCCCACTGCCACTTTCCATACAAAAGATTTAATCTGCGTAGCTTCAATCCCCCATATCAGCTTCCAAATACCTTCTGGAGGGTTATAAGACGAATTGTCCTTTGATTTGAATTTCTACTGCTCATTCTCTGTTGCTAGACTTGATCATGATACCCATTCTTTATAGAAAATAACCCATTCATAGTATGTGCCCATCTTATCCTATCCTCTTGCTCTGTTTCACACAAGGGAATGGATAGAATCTCTTCTGATAAATGTGGGGGGAACACCTCCTGAATTACCTTTGCTTTCCACCTTTTCACAAGGAGGTGGATCAACTCTTGTACCCTCATTTGTTGTGATTAGTATTTATAAGTTTCCTGCTTCTTGGAATACTTGGATCCTCCCGTATACTTATCTGCTTTCCATCCCATACTTGCCAAAAAATCTCATGTGCCAAAACATCCCTACCTTCAAGGATACTCCTCCAAATCCTGGAACTATTTGACTTGGATTTCACTTGCCAGAACTATCTATTTGGAAAATATTTAGCTTTTAGCACTTTTCCCCAGAGAGTATGGGGATTGGGCAAAGTCTCCACACTTGTTTTGCCATAAGTGCCTTATTGAACTTCTTCAAGTCTCTAAATCCCATGCCCCCTTCTTGCTTCCTTTGGGTCATGTACTCCTAGTTTTTCTAGTTAAATACCCCTATCACCTGAGCTCTTACTCCAAGACCTAGAAATACTGGCAGTTAGCTCTTAGACACATAGACTTTGGCAGCTTAAAGATGGTCATTGCATACAACAATATAGCTTGAACCACAGCCTTGATTAATGTCTCCCTCCCCCCATGGTTAAGAAACTTTTCCTTCCACCATGCGATCTTGCTTAGGATCCTTTCCTTTAACCAAGCCAAAATTTGCCTTTTGGACCCCCCCCCCCCATTCAGTTGGAAGTCCTAGATATTTCCCTGTCTGCTGAAGGAGAGGAACTCTTAGATAGGCTCCAAAAATGTTGTTGCACTTCATGGGGAGTGTTTCGGCTAAACAGCACTCCAGATTTGTTCAAATTAATAAGCTGCCCTATCGCATAACAATACCTACTCAAAACATCCATAAGCACTTGGCAATCACTCATAGTAGCTGTTGAGAAAAAAATTGAATCATCTGCAAAAAGCAGATGTGAGAGCTTAGGTCCATTCCTGCTTAACTGAACACCTTTGATCTGGTTACTATCCATTTCTAACTGTATCAGCTTTGTAAGACACTCTGTGACAAGGATAAACAAAAAAGGAGAGACGGGATCACCTTGCTGTAATCCCCTTGATGGACAAATTTGTATAGCCCTTTCACCATTCACCAACACATACATCTCACTGTAGTCACGCATTGCATAATTAATTGGACCCATCTTGTCTCAAAACTCATGATTAGTAAAAGATCTTTTTGAAAATCCCACTCCACCATATCATACACTTTAGCAATATCTAATTTAAGAGCCATTTGATATTTCTTTGTCTTTCTCCTCTCCCTTAAAGACTAAAGAGTGCATCACATGTTGTGCAATTATAATATTGTCTTGTATTTACCTTTCCACAACAAAAGTTCTATGTTTTTGTGACACTACCTTAGTCATAAAAAGTTTAAATATAGTCACTAACAACTTCAAGATTACCTTATAAATAAAATTAGAGTAGCTGATAAGTCGATATTTTTCAATTTCCTTACGATGTTGTACCTTTGAAAGAAGAGCTATATTTATTTTCTTTTAACTCTGTCAGCATAATCCCGGACAAGAAAAAGGATTGGACAGCAATTAACTCAACACCTTTCAAAATTTCCTATTATTTTTGGTAAAAAATTCCAAATAGGCCATCTCGACCTGGGGCTTTCAATGCCCCCAAGCTGAAGACTGCCTTTTGGACCTCCTCAAGATCAAGTGTCCTCATAAGATTATCATTCATTTATTGTGCCACCACTGGAGAGATATTCTGGAGCAGCTGAACATAATTTTTGTTTCCCTCCGAGGTGAATAGCTTCTGAAAGTGCCAAAAAAGGGCTGTGGTCCATGTGGTTTCGAACAGTCAACTCCAGTTGACTAGGATAAATGGGTTTTTTAACTGTATTTAGCCCAAATCGACCCGAACTCTATCCGAAACGTTGTACTTTCTCTCCCCTTTCAGCTCCATTCCTAGCCTCACTTCCCTGCACACACACACACACAGAAGACAGAGAGACTGAGAGAGGAAGAAAAAATGGCCTCTTATCTCTCGTCTTCTACGCTCTCAGCTGTTCCATGCCAGTCTCTACGCTCCAAATCCAAGGACTCCTCGAAACACTGCAAGTCCCTCTCTCCCTCCTTTTGCATCTCCTCTCTCTGTGTGTGTGTGTGTGTGATGTATTTGCCTACAATAATCTCCAAAGTCTTACATATTCTCTAAAGAACGAGGNAATTAGAGTAGCTGATAAGTCGATATTTTTCAATTTCCTTACGATGTTGTACCTTTGGAAGAAGAGCTATATTTATTTTCTTTTAACTCTGTCAGCATAATGCCGGACAAGAAAAAGGATTGGACAGCAATTAACACAACACCTTTCAAAATTTCCTATTATTTTTGGTAAAAAATTCCAAATAGGCCATCTCGACCTGGGGCTTTCAATGCCCCCAAGCTGAAGACTGCCTTTTGGACCTCCTCAAGATCAAGTGTCCTCATAAGATTATCATTCATTTATTGTGCCACCACTGGAGAGATATTCTGGAGCAGCTGAACATAATTTTTGTTTCCCTCCGAGGTGAATAGCTTCTGAAAGTGCCAAAAAAGGGCTGTGGTCCATGTG